GGAGTCTGTACAGAGCCAGAACTGCAAAATTAAGATATTTATCGATTTTAGATTCTTGGACTAGCCTTCATCTACCCCATGAAGAATATTTTACTTATGTACTGTAAATGTCTAATGTAATCATAAATTTCCTGTTAAACTAATCTTGTGCAAAATAAGGAGAGTTTGCTCTAATAAAAGATGACTAAAATTCACCCACAGTACAAGTAAAAAGACTTGTCTGGAACTTTGAAGGAGAGATAACAGGAGATACCAGGTAGTGCACAGTGAACATCAATACACAAAGATACAGCATGTGGAAAAACAGCACAAAAATTCAGCTGCAACTGCCCAACTCTCAGCCTCTCAACCATCATTAAACTGAATCAGCAAATCTAACTTAGAAAAAAGAAAAGGTAACATAGCAGGGGGTATTCTGTCCTGCTCTTAAGTGGTTCCTCACAGGAAAGTTTCCGAATGCCAACTACCTCCCCTCACTTTAAAGCCAACTTATGTCACACAGAAAAGAGGCATTAGGAGTCAGACTACCCTGCTTTTCAAGTGAGGAAACATTTAATTCATTTACATCACCTATGAAATCATTCCGTTTGCTTGCACGTAACTTTTTGCTTGTTATTTCCTATTCTGTTATATTTTGAGCATTTTGAAATTCAGTTACTATACACGTTATTTTGATGGACTGTTGTAAACTCAGGCGACAAGTGTTGCAAATAATGAAGATTTCAGTGCAAAAACTGGTTTACGAGAAGTTACATCTTCTAATGCATATCCTGGTAAACATAGTAAGAAATTATTCTCCTTCCCCAAATTGCTTTCTGAAGTAATGACTTCACCCCATTTGCGCTTTAGGATCTGCAAAGCTTGACAGCATATGCAACACATTGCCCAAAGTAAGCATACCCAATGACTCATGGAACTTAAGGTTCTAAAAGCAATGGTTTTAATCATTTTCATCTGGTACAGTTTACAAGCTCATTATGGTCAGTGGGCACCATTAATTAAACAAGACTTCTTTAAAAATCATTCTATTCTTAAAACTGGTTTGACCCAGGATTGTACTTAAGAACAGCTCTAAATGCTCATCACCCTCCCTTCTTCCAACTTTGCTTCTATTGTAGCATTAAAAAAAAACCCGACCCAAAAAAACCAGTAGCGCAATCATAACACTGTTTTGCTTTCAAACTGCTTGGTACTTCATCTCATTTTATTTCATACTTGATGCGAATCTATTTCATATAAAGTTAAGAATTTAACCAGAATATTCTTTATGGATAAAGACCCAAATCAAAACTTCATTTTTATTAAAGTATTCTTAAAGGATAATACGATATAGAGATTATACCTCACTAAGTTCATGCTGTCTTTGCATCTTTTTTTCAAAGGCTGCTTTCATCTGTGTGAGTTGCTCATACTGGAAGGAAGAAGAAAAAGAACATTTCACCCTCAAAAAAAATCAGAATATTAAAACTAATAGTTCTGAAAAATACTTTATTCACTTACTTTATCCAACACCGTCTGCCTTTTTGCCTCAAGACTAGGCTCCAACAACAAGTTTTTTTCTGTAAAACAGAGTCACTATTACTACTTTTTTTAAAGGATTCAGTTCACAGAACATAGCCACAGATGCTAATGTTCTGACATCTTACTTGCCAGCTCTTCAATGCTTTTCACTAACTCATCTCTATCAGTAATGACTTGCTTCAGCTGTGGTAGAGTCACAAACTGTTCCAGCAACACCTCCTCTTGCTCGTTCATATTGGTCAGCTGCGATATACTATATTCAAACAGAAAGAAAGCAGATTTAAAGCTAACAGCAAACTTTACATGTAGAGTTACTAATTTATGTCAAAAGTTTGAGGCATTTATTGGGACTTTACAAGTACATGCTACAACCACTTATTTCTCCCCTTTCTCCTGGACTATGGGCTCTACTATCTGCAGCAATGAGCTCAAAAAGTAGTGTTAAAAAGTATCTCTCAATTCAAGCCTTCATTCCTATAAAGTGTTTTTTAATGCTACCATAGAGGGTTGACCTTGGCCAGCTACCAGATGCCCACTCAGCTGCTCGCTCAGTCCAGCTCCTCAACAGGACATAGGGGAAAACCTTGTGTGTCGAGATAAAAACATGGAGATTCCTTACCCATTACAATCACAGGCAAAACACACTCAACTTGGGAAAAATTAATTTAATTTATTGCAAATTATAGTAAGAGTTGGACGGTGAGAAAGACAAAAACTAAATGCCTCACCCCCTTCTTCCCCAGGCCAACTTCACTCCTTCATTCCCAACTCCTCCACCTCCCCCTGCCCCAAGCAGCATGGGGGGCAGGGGGAATTGCAGGTACTGCAGTCAGTCCCTAACAGATTGTCTCTGCTGCTCCTTCCTCCTCACACTTTTCCCCTGTCCTAGCATGGGTCCCTCTCCACAGGCTGCAGCTCCTGGCAGGAAAGCTTGCTCTAGTGTGGGCTCTCCATGGCTGCAGTTCCCTTCAGGGCATACCCACGGGCTGCAGCGTGTGGTCCTCCATGGACTGCAACATGGTTATCTGCTCCAGCATAGTCCTCTCCATGGGTTATAGGGAAGTAATTGTCCTATTGTGGTCTTTTCCAAAACTTCCATGGGCTGCAGATGAGTATCTGCTCTGGCACTTGGAGCACCTCCTGCCCCTTCTTCTCTGACTCGGTGTTCACACTTCTCCATTCCTCCCCTCAACCCTTACTGCCTCTGCAGCATTTGCTCTTTTTAAAACCTGTTTTCATAGAGGCACCATCCACTTCACTAATCGACTCAGCTGTCCTGCAGTGGGGCTGCTGCCAAGATGGCTGTGCCTGACATGGGGGCAGCCCCTAGCCCCTCCTCACAAAGGCCGCCCATGCAGCCCTCCAGCTACCAAAACCTTGCCAGCCACACACAACAGAGCTTCTCAGAACAGCTGCAATACCACTTGTGATTTAACTACCACCAGAAGAATCATGGAATTTTAATCCAGTCTTCTTCGAAGGATCAAACTTGATCAGAATGTTTTGTTTAAACACACAAATCACACTTCCCCTCCAAACCCCTAGCTTTCTGCTACATAAGGATGCTGCTAGAATTTACAGCTGATTTAGCTAAATTAAACAGGAAGGTGTGAAGAGAAACAAACAAACAAAACCAACGCGGACGTCCTTCTTGCCAAAGGTCTTTTCCTTTTCGAAAGGACAGAGTTTTCAATCACTAAACTATGACACCACCATAAAGATGTGAGATTAGAAAGAAACCAATCTCCTAAAACCCTTTGAGAATTAATAGCTAATTTATAATCTATTCAATCCCAGATAACCGATCTAGGAGGCGGTCTCATTAGATCTGAGCAAACTTCTGAGAACAATAACTAATATAATTTTTTTTCCCAATTAAGACAAGATATGCTTTTGATGAAAATGTGTAACGTGTCTGAAGTATTTAGATGTGGAAGTGATTTGCACTGGGACAGCTGGCATATTTACCACCTGGGTTTACCTAACCCAACCCCCCTGCACATGCTGAGCCATTCACACAGAAGGCCATTGTTTACCTTGCTACAGTCCTTTCAAATTCAAGAGAATGTAATTTGTGAACTGGTCTCAAGTCCTCTTCCCTGTCCCCTTTCCTCCTTCAAAAGGGACTCTTATTGTTTTACTAGAAATTAAATCCCTGACAAGGCCCCAGAACCCAGCTGGTATTTAAGAAAAGTAAAAATAAATGCTCTTTTTCCTGGTGCTGAATCCGAAAGTATTGTTCTTTTTTTGCTGAGAAAACCCTAAACAAGCAGCACATTTGAATACAAGGCTGGCTTACTTTGACTCCACAATTTTGGTAAGCGGTAGTTCTCCTATTCGTAATTTCTACAAAAAAGTTTCAGCGACGTATACAGACCAGCAGTAATTGCCTTTTAATCGGATACAGATAGAGACCAGCAGTAATTGTCTCTGGACAAAATGGAAAGTTTTGCTAACTTCTGAAAATTTACCTGAGTTCTGAGAGTTCTGGAAATGTATCAGGAACGTCAGGCATCTTGTAAGTAAATCCATTCTGGCCAACCTAAATAGAAGTTTAGAAATGCTTAGTAGATTTTTGGAGAGCAATTTCTTGATATTTAACCTGATTAATCCAAAACCAGATATTTGCCAGCAACAAGGAAAGTAGGAAAAGAAGTAAGAAGCAGTAGCACTAATCTCCAAACAGGAGATGTCTCAACTCAACCGTGGCAACAAAATACTTGAGGATGTTTGGGGTGGCATGTTGTAAAAGATGAGTCAGTTTTGGAGGAAAATATTTCTGCCTTGCTATGTTGTTCATTTGACAACAGTTGGATGACCCAGGAAACACACAGGAGGAATATAACTCAGGGAAGGGAGAACAGAGAAAGAGACTGATATTTTGATCTCTTTGGTGTGGTTTTTAAAGCTGTAATCCCTTGGGGAAAGAAGTTTTTAGACAAGGAAAAAAAAGTCTGTCCTCACAGAGTGTAGAAATTTTAAATTTTACAAAGCCAGAAAAATGTCTTCCAAGATTAAGAAAGCTTTTGTTTCTAAAGACAAGAATTGATGAAAGATTAAACATTTAGACAGAAAGTTTTTGTAGGACTTTCAAAAAAATCCTTCCAGCATGCATCAGTATGAGGCAATTTGTGAGTACACATACAAGATCCGTGAAGAGAAGCATGAAATTAAGTATTTTAAGCACAAAAATGAGAAATAAATACTTGCTCTGACTTCAAGTTTGTTCTAAAAAACTTTTCATCAAAGATAGAATGACAGTTTCATTCTCCTAGCACCAGCAAAACAATGAAGTGCAGTCACTCAGACTCTTTCCTTAAGTTTTGTGGCAGGGCCCTCTGTGCCTTGAGGGAATACCCTGTGTCTTGATAGCTTAAGCAGCAAAACTCAGTGCACAGACCTGAAGCACTGCTTCTGCTGTCGGAACAGGTAGGGGCAGATCAGCAATCAAGCCATAAGAGGGAGCAGCGGGCTTGTCTGTAGTGTAGCTTGAAGAAACTGATTCAGCAACAGGCACAGCTGACATTGTTCTACTTGTTTCTTGAGGTGGGTATGGAGGAAGAAATGGAAACCCCTGAGGAGCATAGGGAGGCATTCCAGCTGGTTTGTTGAAAAGGCTAAAACCAACCAAATAAAAAACCACAACCATGAGCTTACAGCACATTTCTTATAATTTGAATTATAATTACTAGACTACATACAACACATAAGACTGAATTTTTAAATAACCATAAACTTTGCATTTTCTGTTCTCAGTCACTTCCAATGTAGCAAGTCTACTTTATATCTTATACTGCAGCATAATAGACAACTCCATTAAACTATATTCTTCTTGAGCAGCCAAATACACTCTCACGCTCTCAGTTAGAAGAAAACTACTTCCAAAAAATTTATGAGAGCATAAATTTAAATTGTTTCCATCTGAAAGTCCTGAGAAATGTATCGGTGTCGTACATTAGTTGTTATTTGTGGTATAACATTTAACAGCTTGTGCAACACACACATAATAACATGAATGACTTTTTTTATATTCAAAACTGCAGCTGCATCTAAATCTAGTGTCATTGTCAGCCACGAGAATCAAAGTTGTGATGATGAAGCTGTAATTTCTCAGACCACTTTTGCATATATAATACAACTATTTAAACTGCACAATTTCTGTTGCACACTTGTGCAACAGAAGCTGCCTCTAAGCCTGGGAGATTATGAACAGAACATGAAGAAACACAACTGCTCAGATCACGATCTACAGCAAATTCAAGATTTCACCTGGTAATGTAAACATTTATCTTTTTTAAGAAAACAGAAGCAGGTAAGTTACATCAGCATGTTGATACAATAACTCAAATGAAATCTAGTGTTTCTTCTCAAAACAGTCATGCCATCAAGCATGCACATGAAATTGTGCAAGGGCAGCAAATCTATGTCTCCCAATACATCCACTACATTATTCCTGCTCCTGCTCTCCTAATACCTGGTTTCATCTCTTTTTAAAAAAATCTAAGTTAATACACATAGACAGATACTTACTATGGAAATGATGTTGAGCTAGGAGCCAGAACTGGAGGATTCTTCCAAAACTCATCCAGTAAACTTTGAATAATTTTTCCAAGATCTGAGTGCATTGTAAACTGGTAAAAACAAAAACCAAAACCCAATACAGAAGAAAAAATATGCCTGGAATACAATAGTTCCAAAATATACCCACACAGCAGTAATGGAAGCTATTTCAGAGACATATCAGCTAGTGTAAACTGTGTATGCATAAGCTCCAGATAAAGTGATAAAGCCACCCAGAACTGAAGAGAAACTAAAAGTCTTTTCTATATTCTACCATCAATGGAGAACCAATCAAGTACAACGCTTCTGATGAACAACCGAAAAAACCCCACCTTAGTTACCAAGTTACATTTGGGAAAACAAAGAAAGGGAAAAAAAAAAAACCTACCCAAGATTTGAGACAAGAAGCATTAATTGCATTCTGAAAAAGTCATAACCTGCCCTCTACTCCCACCACAAAAAACTACCACATCCTTGTTGGCAGAAAAAAAAAAAAAAACAAACCACAAAACCAGCATATTAAAATCCTGAATATTAGAGCTAAAACCCTGACATCTTTCTAATAGGATTAGGGTAGAAAGAACTATGTTACGAAACAGTCTTAAAGCATCCTTCTCCCTTATTTGGAATACACTGTAGAGAAACAAGGACTGTGCTATTGGTACAAACAAGGACTGTGCTATTGGTACTAACAAGAAAAGTGATAGGAACTTCCTAAGCCATCATAACTTAAAATAGGTTTAGATATACAGAATATTCATCTCCATAATGGCAGAAGTAAAAGAACAAATAGTAGTATACTGAACACTACTGAATTTTTGTTTTCAGATCCCTCAAAAAACAGTTTGAGAGGGATTAGGATCTGTACTAGTCTTTTTTACCAGAAGTATTAGCAATAATCTAGTATGATGTATTAAAAGGACTATTAACAGTAGACATATTGGAAGCTACAAATTATACATACATTACTTATTAATGGGCCGGTCACATACACTCCCTGCTTGTCCACCAAATGATGTCTCACAGGTGGGAAAACACTGATGACTGGTTTTTCCTGAGGAAACTGAGGTGGAAGCAAGCTGCAAATACAAGAATAATCATTACTACAGCTACATCCCACGATAAAGGCTTCTTATGCAAAGAAAAAGCACTATTAATTACATAAACTTACTTTTATGAGAACAGTTATGGAGAAATACAGGGTGAATAAAGCACACAAAAGGATTATTCAGTTACAAAATTAGAAGTCAGACAGATTAGAATACCAGACTTACACAGAATTGAAGAGAGCATTTGCTGGGCAAAACTGTAGTACAACAATGAACCAATTATGTCCATGGACAAAAAAAAAGTTGTAACATAATGAGAATATTTTCTAATACAAATGTTATTACTACAAAGACAATACACTGTAACCTGCAAGAGTATCAGGCAAGTTACCAGGCTAAAGTAGTAAAAAAACTTGTGAACAGAGTAACATCAATATTTGCCAGAGCAAAAGCATCCCTCCCCCAGTAAATCTACAGGAAATGTTACAATAAATCACTTACATTATGATCCAGAAGCTTCACTGGGGTATGAGCTAGGAGTCACACTAGATTAGTAAATTACTAACTAAGATTATTTTCAGTTGTAGGGGATTCAAAGTCATCAGAAGCCCGCAAGTGTTTTCTCCTACTTACCTTCAACTAAAAACATGCAGGTATCTTGGGAGCTGAGGACAGCAAAATACAGTTTTGCTTTGAGCTGAGCACCTGCATCTTGTACAGAACTAGTTTCACTCATATCACTAGAACTACTAATGCAAATCCAGATTATAATTGCCAAAATTAGTTATGAGATGGGAGACGTTTATGTTTTATTACTACTTTCTTTTGAGAACATCTCACTCTACTTACATGTTAATATTAATTGTCAAGTTGTTTACAGTGAATGGCAGTCGGTATTCCACATCTTTCTGAATTTCTGCAATGCTGTCAAAAGAAGAAATTGTTAGCATCCAATTCATGGTCAATAGAACAGCCTAAAGTCTAAAAAAAGGCATGACCTCAGACCTTTGTATTTAGTTTAGTTTTGAAAAGCCCTGCAAGAATGAAATTGAAAATGCTGAAACAAGTTCATACGCTTCAGAATGCTATACTGATTATTAAGATTAAAGTAAAAAATAGTAGATTCAACTTTTAAACCTCATACATGAACACAAGCAACGCAAGTACAGCAGGAGAAATCGTACTACTCACTGATCTGACAACAATCTCAACTTATTTTTTTCCATTTACTGGTGTAATTTAAGACATCACATCAGTGACTTTTTATATATTGAATTTCATCTGATAAAACATTTACTTTGCCAAGGCATTATTCCACTTGGTTCACAACTAAGTATCACTCTGCAACACCGTCTACAATTCAATATTTAGAACATACCTCACACTAGGCCTTCTTCCTTGATAGATTAGCTTACTATTTAATACTAGTTTTTCCCACATGCACCAAGTTCTATGGACTTGCACAGATATTTTCAAGAGTTATCTGGAGAAGAGCTACTTGCAAGAATGTAAAGCTCTGTAATCCAGTGACGCTCAAGACACAGATGCAGTACCGAGCAAAGAAACAGGTATCTCATGACATCCCTTAAGACCGAATCAAATTTGGTTCTCCTGTAACAGTAAGTTACTAAGAAAAAACTTTACATCATTTTCATTAACAGGAAGTTGATTCCAATACTCAAAGCACTCTACAATTGGTATGCACAGCAAGACTGCTTTGAAAGATGGCATCCCAAAGAATGAGGAGGAGGAGGAGGAGGAGGAGGAGGAGGAGGAGGAGACGACTTAGCTCAGAAGCAGAATTTCCAGACAATGCAAATATACCTAAGCTGGGACTGGGAGAGAGAGCAGAGCAGAAAATTAGCTTTATCTCATAATGCCTCAATCAAAACAAACTTAAAAAGCAGACTGATTCCTTTTCCATATATTTTTCCTGCCTGCATCTGGCTAGTAATACTCTTCTCCCTCACCTCTCTAAGCCTCCCTTACAAAGGGAGGGAACACAGCTCCAATTGGAAATAATGGCAGCTGGGTGTTCCCAGAAAGTCTCTGCACCCAACTTCAGAAGTGCCCCTCCATCCACTGCCAGGTGCACTCCATACTATTACTTCTTAAAAAACCCCAAACCACATTACCTGCAAGTGTAGTGCCAGGAGTGTTTTGTATCCCTCCAAAGCATTATTTGCATACAGAATTTAAAACTCTAGTTTTCAGAGCTTTGGGAATAAATGGGAGTAAGACACAAACCCAGCTATGCACCTTGCTTTCGCAGCCTGACCTCTCACACATAACTCAGTATCTGCTCTT